TCCAATTTTGGTGAGCTCTTGGAAATTGTAGCCTCTTTTTCCTACTTGAAGTGGAGATGAGTGGTAGCCGGTGGGGTTTTTTGGTGTTGTAGCCCATCCACCTCAAGGTTGTGTGTGTTGTGGCTTCACAAATGCTTTGCTGCATACCTTGGTTGTAACAAGTGATTATTTCAGTCAAAGTTGCTCTTCAATCAGCTTAAATCGGTCGGCCCATTCTTCTCTGACAACTAGCATCAACCAGGCATTTTCGCCCACAGGACTGCCGCATACTGGATGTTTTTCCCTTTTCACGCCATTCTTTGTAAACCCTAGAAATGGTTGTGTGTGAAAATCACAGTAACTGAGTAGGTTGTGAAATACCCAGACCGGCTCGTCTGGCACCAACAAGAATGCCATGCTCAAAATTGCTGAAATCACCTTTCTTTTCCATTCAGTTTGGAGTTCAGGAGATTGTCTTGACCAGGACCACACCCCTAAATGCATTGAACCAACTGCCTTGTGATTGGTTGATTAAAAAATTGCATTAATGAGAAATTGAACAGGTGTTCCTAATAATCCATGTTTTATGGGGACATTCCATAGACATAATGATTTTTAAATGGCATAAACTATATATTTTATCCCTTACGTGTGTGTGTGTGTGTGTGTGTGTGTTGCCAATTAGTTATGGCAGCTTAGAGCTTATGAGCAGTGTGAGGGTACAAATTTGAAGTATGGTCACATGCTGCAAAAGGAGCTGCCAACTTAAAGTTAGTTCACCCAAAAATGAACATTAGCCCATGATTTACTCACCCTCAAGCAATCCTTAGTGTATATGACATTCTTATTTCAGACAAAATAGAATCGGAGTTATGTTAAAAAATGTCCTTGCTTTTCCAAGCTTTATAATGGCAGTGAATGGCCGTTTATGTTTGGAAGTCCATAAAAATGCACCCGTTCAGGATAAAAGTACTCCACGCGGCCCTGGGGGGTTAATAAAGGCTTTCTGAAGTGAAATGATGCGTTTCTGTAAGAAAAATATCCATAAGAGGCATCATAGCTTACGCTGCTCCTACATCCTACGTCATATATCATTGAGTATTACTCGTTCGTCATAAATCGATACGTACGGCCTTCTGCCGGAAGCTAGATATTTTAGTCGATAAAGTCTTAAATATGGATTTTTTTCGTAAACAAACACATCGCTTCGCTTCACTTCACTTCAGAAAGCCTTTATTAACCCCCCAGAGCCTCGTGGAGCACTTTTATCATGAATGGATGCACTTTGATGAACTTCAAGCTTGAAAGAGCCAGGGCATTTTTTTAATATAACTCCGATTGTATTTTATCTGAAAGAAGAATGTCATATACATTCAGGATGGCTTGAGGGTGAGTAAATCATGATATTAATTTTTGGGTGAACTATAGATTTAAGCATCATCAACTGCATAAAAAAACAGTCACAATGAACAAGCTCTACATGATTGCTGTGAGTTATTCAAAATAAAATTAGTAGTCCCCTTATATGTATGATATCATCTAAAATAGTTAATTGTTTCCTATCAGAACTAAACTAGTCTGATATTTTATAAATACAAACAAAATACAATAATGGTCATGTGTACACACGCATATTCTCACATGCTTATCTGTTGACCACCACAGTTAATCAGTATGCTGTTCTCTTTAATGCTGATGATGCTTTGGTGGTCCACTCCCATATACGTAATATCAACATAAAGGGTCCCTCTATTGAATTTATTTTTACTTCTTGCAGGAGAATGTCGGATAGGGAACTAAATAATTAAAGAAAAGGGACCCTTTTTGACTGCATCAACCATGGCACTGCTGGTAAGCTCTACAATACATTGTACAATCTATTTTTCAGTCAGAGTCAGGTTTACGTGACTATTTAGATCACTTTTAACCCTTTAGCATGACCTGGAATTCCTGTGGTCTTTTTTATTCTAATTTCTTGTATATATTACTATTCATTTTAGACAGAAAATGTAGTGAGCAATTGTAGTATGGCACCCACAGAGGCACCCACAAATCTTGGTGGTTTTATTTTGGTTTGGTTACTACAGGTACTAGCCAATATTGCAGTGTTTTTCATTAAACCAGAATATTCGTTTAGTTGTTAGTTGAACTTAATGAGGATTGACATGTTATATATCATATTTGAGGGACATTTGAACAGTTGTCTAGAGGCAGATCAAGTTGTAAATAAATCAAGTTTTAGATTAATTGCTGCAAAGTAACTTTCTCTTGTTATGTGTTATGTGATCCTGGATTGGGGTGAGAGAAAGTCCATCTTTATTAAAGTGAAGCCTGAATGAACAATATCTTTATGGGTCTCGATTAAACTACCTTCAGGAGTGAGAAAATGTGCTAATGCTATCCAAGTCTGAGTTAATATATTATCAAGTTTCCCTCTATTATTGCATTACCACAGCTCGAATCAATTGATAAACTCCCATTCAATGAGGTGGAGTATTTAATTGAGTCAGAGTCAATTACATTTGTGCATGCCTGCAGACATGCTGACAGAAGTAAACACTTTAGCAGAATACTACTGTCTAAGCGGTGTTAGAGTTATTGAACTCTCTGCTGTGTCAGAAAGTAGTGTGCTTTAACAAACATTCATGCAGTCACACAAATAAAAGCATGACAATGCAGGAAATGTGATAAATTGGTGCTATACAATTAACATAATTAAGTATTTCGTAGGGCTGGAACGACATTTCGACGTAATCGATTAAGTTGCTTACGCAGTGTTTGTGTTCATCCCTTTCTCCTCTGTCATGTGGCATCTTTCACACAAAACACATTTTAGAGCGAACAACTCTGCAATTTTACAGCGTTTTTTCTGTTGTTGTTTGTTTGTTTGTTTGTTTTTTTACAAGTGTGACAAACCCATTCTCTAATCAAAGTGGCACCTGCACATTTTTTGTACTCACAAACACATTCTCGACAAACCTGCACCAAATGAACTGAACCGCACTGGACAACTAGTTGTCTGTCATGTCATTTAATGTGAGAGCCACATTGAACTGTAATCCTGACAGGTTTAGTTTACTCACGTAGATAGAGATATATTAATTGTATGGAGGTAAAATAATGACAAATGTTTTTGAAACAAAAAAGCTTGTTAAATTGCACTACTTGAAAAAATCTGTCTGCTTGCATTTTAATGCATTGTATTTTTAGGGATTGCATTTTTATGGGCTGAAATTCAACATGGTTGTATATTTAAGCTGTGAATATTTCAATTCAAAACATTTTGCACACATTTTCATTTTTAAAAATTCAATAACCTTTCAGATTTCACTTCCAAAATATTCATTCTGTTTAAAAATACAACCTAAAATATTCAACAGGCAATTTTCGGTCCATTTTATATCACTTTAATTATATCGCTTCCAGAAATTGAGTGGTTCAAATTCAACAGAAAATGCAATATTTGACGTTCAGAAATGGCAGGAATATCAAAGGATTGCCGATTGATAATCTCCATAGCTGTTAGTCGACCTAACCAGCAGGGGGTGCAAGCGGCTATTTAGGAAGAAAAAGGGCAAGATGTGAGAGACTCATTCATTCATTCATTCATAAAAACGGATTTACAGAAATGGGGCAAGCTGTAAGTATTTGTGATGATGATTAGGGCCAGTAAAGCTATGAAAAAGCTGATAAAGACACAAAAGCTGTGTGTACATTTAAATCCTCACATTTAGATTTGCACATATACGCAGCTTTCTCTACCGTGAACAAAATTATAATGTTATTCCCCAATGCTGATGTACTGATAAAATGTTAAATATGAGGTAGAAAACATATATTTATCTTCGGTTGTTTAGTTTTCTTAACTTCATATCACCAGCTGTGCTGCAGAACTGCGGTCAGGCCCCTAACACTTAATGGACTAATACAGTGATTTAAAAGACCAAACTCGCACATTATTGGGGATGTAGGCTAGACAAGGGAACAGGCTAGCGGATTCAGAATATGAACGTAACGTGCAAAGTTTCATCCTAAGCGATTCCCAGTGAAATACTGGCATAAAGTTGGCTTGACACTGCATGGATATTCGCACATTTAGGAAGCATCTCTAAAGTTACATACGACATTGGTACACACGTTTCTAACTTCAATAATATTTGAAGAGAATGACTTGCATTCATAAATAATATTTTGGAAATTAAACCCTTAAAAATTAAAAAAAAAAAAAAAAATTAAAAAGTTTGTGAAATGTTTTGAATTTAAATATTCATAGCTTAGAAATACAACCATTTTGAATTTCAATGCATAAGCTTCAAAAACATTTGGCATTTTACTTCCATATAATTGCGCTCAACCGCAGATCCAACAGAGCTGCAATTGGTGCAAGCTGTGAGGCACGCGACGCAAACAAACTCTCTACACGGGGTATCCATTTCATGTCCTTGATGGTTGTTTAAAATATCTGATGAATGAACTCACGCCTTGATTGGACTCGTTAATTTAATAACAATTTCAATTGGGATAAAACTTCCCAATGTTATGGACGTTACCATTTTTGATACTGTCACTGAATGTTGTCGTGAGTCCTAATAATGTGCAGGCTTGTATTAAGTGATGCTGCCATACTAGCATTAGCATCTGCTCTAAAATTTTGTTTTGTGTGAAACAAGACAAGGGATTAGGGATGAAGATAAATAGTCTAATAACTTTGATACGTCATTCCAGCCCTAGTAATAGGAGATCTTGCAGAAACAGAATTTTACTACAAGATATTAGCACAATCAATGTCGTACAGAATATTCTGTATTTTTAGTGTAAGTATTTTTAGTGTAAATTTACTGAAAAGAAACAGGAGAGTCTGTCAACATTAATGTGAAAACATGTTCAGTTAATCACTGTAGTTTTTTTTTCTGTTGTTGTTGTTTTTTGTCATATATATATATATATATATATATATATATAGGCTAATGTTTTCAGTTCAAATAAATTGCTATAGGAACCCTGTTCTCTCTTCCCTGTAGACATAGCTCCAACATCAACCTGCACCGCAAACTACTGACCAAAGAGCTGGATGACATTGTCCTGGACCCCCAGCTTACAACCTTGCCTAAAGATCTGCGTGCTGAGTTCCTATCAAAGATCTATGTTGACCACCACCTGGGACTGGAGGGGGTGGGAATTGCTGCCAGTGGACCACCACGAGGCAGAAGACACGAGGGAATGAGATCCCCAGTCACAAGAGTATATTCACACAGCAATGGCTATTGCCATGGTCCCAATGATGACTACATGGTGCTGGACCTGAGCACTGCCTCTAGCGTACAGTCAAGTGGCAGTGTGCAATCCTCACAGGAGTCTGATGAGGGCAGCGATGATGGCATCCTGCTGGATGACCTGGAGGGTGCTAGTGAAACTGAGGACTGCAACCCTAGTTCTGGGGCTCAGAGACTGGCAAGGGAGGGAAAGGATGGGGAAGAGGCCAGGAAGGAAGGAAGAGAAGGAGGCACAGAGGAGGGGATTCTGCACTGTGACCCTTCCTTGTCACCATCCATCTTGGCATCCAGTGGAGGTAATGGTACAGGAGGCATCCTTTGCACCATCTGCCACAAACTGTACAGTAACAAAGGGACTCTTCGGGTGCACTACAAGACTGTCCACCTGCGAGAAATGCACAAATGCAAAATACCTGGTTGTAACATGATGTTTTCTTCTGTAAGAAGCAGAAACAGACATAGCCAGAACCCCAACCTACACAAAAATTCCCCTTATACCACAATGGTTGATTAGATCAATCCACACATCATCCACACAACGACCCCCTGTTCATCCCCCCACAACAGTCCCATATTGCTACAAAATAGCATTATTCCTCTTAAACGTCTTTTCAAGTATGAAAAGAGCAGAATTTTGCCCTTTTGACATTTCCGTTTTTGGAAGCAAAGGACTTAACATACAATATAACACCATATATCACTCAATCCCTGACACAAACTTCTTCTCAATCTCTTATTTGTGACTCTTGCCTGCAGAAATGATCTTGGGGGAAAAAATCCTGCATTTGTGTAATAATAGCTTTTAAAAGAATCCCATACAAGTGCATGACTGGCTTAAATATGTAAATAATGTTGTTAGGGGCTTTGGTGTGAAACAGTTGTATTGATGGTTGATATTTTGTTCAATTGTTTTTTTTTTTTTTTTGTTGTTGTTGGTTTTTTTTTTTCGTTTTCTTTTACTGTAATACTTTCATTTTAATTAGGTAAGGTAATCAAGACAAAGTAGCATCTGCCTAGCTTGATTCATTTATATTGGCTTTAAAAAAAAAGTTTTAGAAAAGAAAAAAGTTAAATATGTGACTTGTGACTTGTTTTATCTACCTGTTAGATATACAGATGGAGCTGGCATGCTTTAGCTCTAAAAAGTACTTTTTTATTTTCTCATGTTTATAGCTTTAGTAAAAAAAAAAAAAAAAAATGAAAAGAAAAAAAATGCACTTTGCAACTATACTAGTGGGACTTGTAATAATATTACAAGGATAACACTTTACAATGATGGTTGTCCAACATGGAAAGGACATTTTTAAGGATACAGTACCAAATGATAATTACTGTACCTTGAATAATAATAAAAAATAAAAAAAAAACGTGCCAGATTTTTATATGAGAGTAATCTCATTTGACATGATTAAACCCAATATTCATATCATTTAATAAGTGTTTCAGGTATATTCATTTGAATGCAGTAAATAAGTATTACTGACTCTGATCATAACATTTGACGAGTAAACATTTGAAGAGTGTAAGTGTATGGTTAAAGGCTGAACTAGCTCAGAGGTTAGGTAGATAATCTTTCTACTGCATGTAGTATTACTTTAAAAGTGTTAGTATGTGTCCTGTAATTTATTTTGTCTCTATAAATTTGAGCAATTTTAACATATAGAAATGCCATTGACTTTTCAGTGTGCCACAAACGAGAGGCTATAATCTGTGACCAAAATCAAAGACAACGTTCCAACACCCAATGAAAAGAAATTACAGTGAGAAGAAGTTACAGTAGTTTGCTGTCTCCTCCAATGCATTATTTCCAGACATTCATTGACTGTTTAAAATTTTTATCATTATCTTGTTCATGGCATGCATTGTCTATTGGCCACACAATAACAAGACAAAAAAGAAAGCACTATTAAATTTGAACCAGTTAGAGGCTATGTAGATTTGAGTATTTATTTCTAGGTATCTGTTTATAATAATTAATTGAATGCAAATTAGCTCTTTGATGTCTGTTGGTTTCAATTGGAATGAATGAAATGAAAGATAAATATGAATAAATGACATGTAATTTACAATACTGGAACTCCATGCAGTCCAAAAGGTCATTAATGTTGGACAAAGACTAGATGAATTTGCTCCCTACTTTATGTGCTATTATGATAGTAGCCTTGCTGTTATTTTCTGAGAAAAAGAGCAGATATGAACATATGAACTATATCAGTAGTGTGTATAATTAAAATGTACTGATACACAGAACCTGGAGGTATTTCCACCACTGACCTGTGGAAATTCAATAAATTCAGTGATTCAGTGAATGTTGCTGACAATACTGCCTCATGGAGAGACCCAAAACTTTTTTTATCTTTTCTTCTTCTCCTCCTCTGTTTTCTCCTGCTCTACCTGCTACCTCTTATCCCCATGACAACTGCTGCCACAGTGGATGGTCCTTTACGAAACTGGCTAATAGTGTGCGCTTAACTTCACTGGATGGCACACAAGACAGAAAAGGAATTGTTATTGGCTTTTTTTTCCATATAAGGGGAAGATTGAGCACATACAGACAAGTTTCTCCCGCGAGTCACAGCAATGTCCTTTCTATCTGCAATCTGAAAGGGCTATGAAAGAATACCACCTCAAAGGCATTTGATTGCCTGAAAAACAATGTTTTTGAGTTACTTAACTCAGTAACTCTTGCACCAATAACTGGTCAATAAAATGACAGAAACATTATGACCTGTTAACCTCAAAACAGAAAGCATTTTTAGGTCTGACAAAGGCTGGTGCTTTACTTTAAACCCAATAATTACCCAATAATAATTATAACCCAATAATAATTATAATAATACATAGTTGTGTAGATGGGTAATGTGATATCACAAAAAAAGAAGAAAGCGAAGAAAGTTATCAACATCACGGCCACATATTTTCCAGACTGTTGAACCAAAGACTTCTAGAGACACACAGCATGGACACAAATTGGGAAAAAACTCAGAATTTTAAACTACTGAAGAGAACGTCTCGGTTACGGATGTAACCCTCGTTCCCTGAGTAGGGAACGGAGACGTTACGTCAGAAGTGACGGAGAATGGGGGTTTCGCCTAGAAAGCCAATCCTCTTCGAGTATTAAAAAACGAGCCAATGGCAAAGAAATGCCATGGGTCTGCGGAATTTGCATAGCGTATCTCCGCCTCACCCGTGGGTATAAAAGGAGGAAGCGGACGCCACCGCAGTATGTCTTCGCTGAGGAGCCGAGACTGAACTCAGGCGTCTACCCAGCGGTACAGCGAAAGTGGCAGGGAGACGTAACGTCTCCGTTCCCTACTCAGGGAACGAGGGTTACATCCGTAACCGAGACGTTCCCTTTCGTAGTCACTTCGAGTTACGTCAGAAGTGACGGAGAATGGGGGTCTGTGCCATCACGCCATCTTCATAGCTGTCTTCCAGTGCCCTGCGAAAGTCTGGACCCCTGAACATAGCTTATAACCAGGGATCCTACTTTGACACAGGAATACCAAGGTACACTGGGAAACATATCCCGGGAGGGACATGCTACCAGATGCCTACCGAAGGAGGACTTACAAATACACATATGGCCGTATTAGGGACTACATATGGAGATCACTGGAGCACCAACCGCAGGTGGCAGAAACTTAACTCCAGGGGTGGCAGATGGCTTGCCGAGGGAAGACACATGCTCAGAGAGGCTTACAGTGGAAATACACATGTGGGGGTTACTAGCAGGAACCATGCACATGGAGGCACCTAACCGACGTCCAAGCAGACACTGGCGTCAGCATCAACAGTGCTAGAGAAACTCAGGGCTTCCGTAGAAGGCTCAACTGAGAAAAATCGCACTTATCCAGTTGGTGGAGTGGAATGGCGAGCAAGCGAAGACACCTGAGCGGGTCCAGTACTGGCCGGGTGAGCGAGTACAAGAGAGGACACAGGCTCCACTCAGAGATTATAGAATCTGGCGAATGTGTTGGGTGTCGCCCAGCCTGCAGCTCTGCAGATGTCTGCTAGAGAGGCGTCATGCGCTAGAGCCCAAGAGGAAGCCACACTCCGGGTGGAGTGGGCTGTCACACCAAGGGGGCACGGACGACCTTGCTGCTGGTAAGCCAAAGCAATGGTGTCCACTATCCAGTGAGACAACCTCTGCTTTGAGAGAGCCCTTCCCTTCTGGCTCCCACCATAACAGACAAAGAGTCAAGACAAGTCAGCAGTGAGTGTGCGGCTAGCTCGCAAGCTGCGCGGACATGGCGACCGAGTCTATCTCCATACCGAGAAAAGAGATCCTCTGCATGGGGCAAAGTTTGCTCTTCTCCCAGTTGACCCGAAGGCCCAGACGGGCTAGGTGCCGGAGCACAAGGTCTCTGTGTTCGCAGACCTGATCTCTAGAGTGTGCTAGGATCAGCCAGTCGTCGAGATAGTTCAGGACGCGAACCCCTTGTTCGCAAAGGGGAACAAGGGCTGCCTCGACAATCTTCGTAAAGACGCGAAAGCAAACCGAAGAAACGGTCTGGTCGAGGTAAAATGGAGACATGAAAGTAGGTGTCCTTCAGGTCTATCGCTGCAAACCAATCCTGGGGCCGAACACATTCGAAAATGCGTTTGGCCGTGAGCATCCTGAACGGCAGCTGGTGAAGGGTGCGGTTCAAGATGCGCAGGTCCAGAATCGGTTGTAACCCACTGGTTTTCTTGGGGACAATGAAGTAGGGGCTGTAAAACCCTGACTTCATCTCGGCTGGAAGGACGGCCTCGATTGCACCCTTCGCCAGCAGGGTAGCAACCTCCGCTCTCATGATCGGGGCATTGCCACCGACCACCGTAAAGCGGTCTCCCCTGAAGCGGGGAGGAGACCGTGCGAACTGAATCGTATAGCCGAGCCTGATAGTTCGGGCGACCCAACGGGACAGATTGGGGAGCTCTAACCAAGCCCCCAAAAACTGATCCAGTGGAATCATCCGAGCCACAGGCGTCCCCCCAGAGGGGCAGCGGGGCAGATAGATCGGCACAGGCGAGGGTGGCGTAGCGACCCTGCGCGTGTGCGTCACGCTCCGCGCCCTGACAGAGGAGACCAGGGAAGGACCAGCGTTCCCCGGGGGTCTGCTCTGCCAGGGGTCTGGCGATAGAGGGGGATGAGAGTGGTATGGTCCGGAGACGGCACGCACTGTCATCCGCGCCCTCAGAGACAGAGGAGGATGAGAGTGGCGAGGCACGGGGGCGTCGCACACTGCCATCCAGCTCTGTGTGCTCAGGGATGGAATGCAGCTCTTTGGAGAAAAGATTCTCCCCCAGCCCTCCACCGGGGGAAGGAGTGGGACTGCAACCACTCCCTGAAAGAACTGCAAGCCATATCTGAGCTGCCCGTAATGGGAGCGCCGCATAGCCTGGCGTACAGCGGGGCTGCAGGGCTGGTACGGGCAGGGGCGCCTCCCTGCGACCACCTCCACGGCCCGGCCCGGTGCTGCTGGGGCCGGGCGGGAGGGGGCGGAAGTCGCAGGAGGGCGCATTCGGCGGCAAGCGGACTGAGGCGTCTAAGGTCAGACAAAAGCCACAGTCCACTTCTGGGCGGACGAGAACTGTTGGGCAGAGTTCACGACTGCGCCGCCGAAAAGGCCAGCCTGGGATATGGGGAAGTTGAGGAAACTGGTTCACTCAGCCTCACACACATCAACCAGGTTAAGCCAAAAATGTCTGACCACACATGTGGACATCACCTGACTCAGGGAGCATGCGGTCACCTTCATGGCTCGTAGAGCAAGGTTGGTAACGGCAGGCAGCTCAAGGATGAGCCCTGAATCAGCCCTATCCTCGTGCATGTCACTGAACACCCATAAGGATGACAATAACATACAGTGAGGTGGCAGTCTGCCCCGCAGCTCTACAGGTCCCCGCCACCGGAGTAGACAAGAACCTACAGGCATTGGAGGGGTGCTTAGGGTTGCCACGCCAGGTGGAGACGCTGTGGGGACACATAAGTGTTGCCACAGAACACTCCATAGGGGGGAACCCCAGTGTACCCTAGACTGCGGCCTCTACCACGTGGGTTGCAACGTGAAAGACGGGGTGTGGACCGAGGAATTTTCGTCGGTTTAGTTCCAGACCGTCTTTTGGTCACCCTGGCCACTAGCCAAAGTATTATCTCACGTGGAGAAAATAGTTCGGGTAGTGGGGACTCTCACTCTATTGAGCTCACGGAGTCTCAACCGTATACATTGCGATGATCACGTCCCCACTGAGAGAACGTGACACACCCACGAGCGCTGTCTGAGCGTGATCAAAGCCCAAACACGTCAAACAGCGCTCGCGCCCATCAGCTGACTCTATCAGAATACCGCACTCAGGAATACACGGGCAAATCGTCTTTAAAAAGACGTGCCGCGTGCACACTCTTTCAGTGAGAGGAGAAAACTCAGCGGATGTTGAAGGGACCAGGGAGAGGCACACACACTGGCAGACCACTGCTCAGATCGCAGGCAATGTGAAACGCGCTGGGTACCGCCGTCACACCAACACCAGAGAGTTCACTCGTCTCAAAGAGGTGAGTCACAATAGTAAACTCAGATTGTGTGGCTTGTGGAGTGAAGAAGTTCTCTTGTCTCCGTGGCGTCCGCTTCCTCCTTTTATACCCACAGGGTGAGGCGGAGATACGCTATGCAAATTCCGCAGACTCATGGCATTTCTTTGCCATTGGCTCGTTTTTTAATACTCAAAGAGGATTGGCTTTCTAGGCGAAACCCCCATTCTCCGTCACTTCTGATGTAACTCGAAGTGACTACGAAAGGGAAAGACAATTACTTCCAAATCTGATCGCCTGAATACTTGCACATTGTGGTTCTGATATAATTAGATTTATCTGATGGTTGTAAAAAAGTGTACATTGAAACATCAGGCTGTATATGGCCAAGTAAAAAGGAATAGAAACGT